AAACTAAACTCAGTCCCACCACCGTCACCACTGACAAGGTGTAAACACACCAGACTCCTGCAGACGGTGAATCACCAGCACTTCAACACCAAAGCCACCCAATGGGCCTCATCACTACAGCTGTGTTCATAATTATGGAAGACTTCTATTTTTTCCTGTTCACATATCATCACACATGGCTGCTGAAAAAGTGGCACGAATCAGAGTCAGCGACTCACAACAGATCAAACGAGGAGCCTGGAGGCCCAGACAGCATGTCAAACACAGGAAAGCTCCCTGTTCCATTACTGCATGCAGTGGGTGATTTGGAGCTTTTTCTCCTGTACATCACCACCTCACTGGCTGACGAAGCCCCAGCTGAGATAAGGGATAGGAGGACAGTGAGGATTGGGCACAGACAAAATATGAATCTGTTGCCCTCAGGTTATATGGAGCAGAGCAGCAGGGCCTTTTGCATTTCTCTGAAGTCCTCCTAGGGTTATTGACCTCAATTGCACATTAAATTCAAGGAAATTCAAGAGTAGAAGATGAGCATGTTATGGAATAAGACAGGACACTAGGGATTTTCAAAGTGTTCTTTTGAGAGGTCCAGAGAGTTAAGATATATTGACAATTTGGGTGATACAATTTCTCTTTGTAAAAACTGAAGTACACACATTTTCCAAAATGTATACATTTGATATTTATTTTTGTCAAATCTAAAAACTCTCAAGACTTGTTAGAAATTTGTCTTTACTAGAGAAAACCTGCAAAATGAACACTTTTAAGGAAACAACTGCATGAAACTTTTTGATATACAACTGATCTTGATCAAAGCCCTGCTCTGTGTGAGTTTGCAGAATTCTCTTCTAACTTAAACAATGACTGTACATGCACAGCTGGCCTTGAAGAGGAGACATCTGTACATTAGTCACAGGACATAAGAAACCTAACAAGTCTGATCAGACACACAGCTTCATCCAACCTGGTTATCAGTTCTTCTTATCAGCCCAAAAGGCATCTCAGAAAGGTTTTATTGTGACTTACTGGCAGTTCAAAGCAAAAACTATCTTTATTATTATCCTGCTACTGCTGACAGAGGGTTATAGATTTAACCTTAAATGCTTTGCATGGCAGGAAAACAAGAGTGAAACCCATCTGCCAGAGATATAAGAATCTGTTTCCACACTACACATGAAGAAGTAATACATCAAGTTTAAACTGTCACCCATTTTTTTTGTCCCAAAACAGACAGTAATTGGAAAAACAGTTGCAAAAGGAAGAACACTTCACTTGATTGAACAACTGTCAAAGGACAGAACATATTTTTCCACCAACCTTTTTTTTTTGGTCTAGCTCTCAAAAGGAACATCAGTCATTAATGTATAATGGAAATTTTAAGTCACTTATGTTCAGCTTGTTATAAAAAAGGTCCTTTGCATATTCTCTACATTTTATTTCCAGCTAGTAAAAAAATCTGGAGTTGGTCATTTTTGTTAAGAGAGGTGATGAAAATGGCTGTTGACAGTTTTAGAGCCTCATCATGACATTTAAGCCTCAGATCCAAACCTCTCTTGTGAGACTGAGTTTCTATAACACACTGTTTTCCATTTGTCATTCATAGAAAAACGACTTTCCTGATTTAAACTGCCAATGAATAAATGAACATGAATGTCCATAAGAGGGCCGTATTTGGAAATAACATAATTCATACAATTAATTGAGTAACACATAACATGACTACATCATGACACACATCTCTCATTGCCACACAACTATTTCTAAGTGTCACAGTGTTGCAATACACAATATTTTCTTAATGAAACATCAGAAGTATCTGTGGACACTCCCTGTTGAGTGAGTAAGAAAAATATCCATCGTCTCGATGAGAGAAAAATTGACCTACTATACTATACATACACTATATTGTTGACAATTACACAACAGTTTTTTAATCATCAGCTTTCCATCGTCAAATCTGAGTTAATACATGTGCTACTCAAATATGCAATGCTTGGATAAAGCGAAAAGGTGAACCACACACACACACACACACACACACACACACACACACACACACACACACACACACACACACACACACACACACACACACACACACACCCCTTCTGTTCTTATCACAAAAGGTACTACTATTGAAACTCAAGGTCAGGCCTTTTTCAAAAAGGAAAGGTCACACTATAACAATCAATCAGGGGATTCACCAGCTAAAATTACTCTTATTAGATTTTGAACAAACAGCCACTTCTGATCTACTCATAGTGAAAGATGTTATTTTGTGTTTTTAAGGAAGTTGATTAATTATTTAAATTATATTAATTGTGAAGTAAAATAAAATAAATGATAAATAACTTAGACAACTAATTTCTATTAAGACAACAATATGTCATTGATAAATGTTCTGAGTTTTGTGTTTTCGGATCATTTGAAATGTCATAGTCTTTGGTACAAACATGTTCTGTAAGGTATTACACTCTGAGAGGTTACAGCCACTGATCTCTGTGTCCTCTGAGTGTGTGTGTGCCATCTAGCTCACCTGACAGGCAAAGAGCAGGAAATGAATTGTGTAGTATTGTATTATGTCATGTGAGAATGAAATCACCACGGCCAAAGTCCAACGGTCACTTCAGTCACCCACAAAGACAAATACTATTCTACACAGTCTAAATCCAGAGCCAAGAAAACAAAACCAAACTGAGCCTACACATTCAAATTCCACATACTTAATCATTGAGCAAAAACATTTAGTGCAAAGTGAATTTTATTTTAGAAACAAAAACAGCATAAAAAGATAGCAAATGCTCCACATGCTAATAACAATTAACATGGGATAATCAAAAGTGTTTTAAAGCTACTGAACCACAAATGATAATTGGTTTCAGAAATGTCAGAAACAATTCTTCAATTTCTTGCAGACGTGGCTCTGAATTATTATTTTGGGAATCTGTTTATGCAACACCAAGAAATAAGAATTTTGCTGAAAATTGTTTCCGTACACTCCCTTTACTCTGCAATTCCCACAATTGGTTGAGGTGAGAAAAAAAACAAATAAAAAAAAACAAGGAGTGGAAGTTTAGTACAAGAGTTTAGAGAAGGGGGCATCCAGGGGACAAATGTTTAAGTTTGTGTGTGTGTGCATGCAGGGTTTGTGTTTGTGCATGCACATGCTACTGTGCACAGTGGGTGGGGGCAACTGCAGGTGCCTGCATTTAAATGGGTGCAAAGGTGTAAATTTATTTCCAAGCACCTGCACTGACATTGCGGCCTGTCGGTGCCTAAAGGGTTCAAATTGAAAGGCAGTCACCCATTCATAAGGTGATGTGTGATTGAGAGTGAGAGTGAAAGCGGCACAGAAAATCAGAGGTGAAGGTGGAAAGGCCTCAGTGAGGAAGGAAGCTGACGGTTGACAAGTAGTAATGAGGGAAACTTCCTTTAGAGAAGAAGCGGGCAGTGAGTCAGACTGAAACCTGTCAATAACCAATGATCTGTTGCTTTGAGTCTGCAGCTCAATGAACAGTGACTGCCAGAGGGGACAAGTCTTTCACAGCTCAACACACAGACACACAGACACACAGACACACACACACACACACACAGAGTAGCTAAAAACTTTTAAAATTTCTTGTAAAGCTTGTGCTATCTGAGGTTCACTGATCACACCTCAATTTCAACATATTAACATATTTTATCTTGTGCTGTTAAAACAGGTTGAAGTACTGTCTATAAAAATACATCGAGAGAAAACAACATCATCTTTGTCTCTGGCCAAAGTCTTCCTTAGTTCATTTTAGAAAGCAAATGTGCAAGAAGACAACATGGCAAGGAAGAGAGCTGATGCAATCACATCTCCTGATTTCAGCAAGTGTGTGTGAGAGACCAGGAGTACATGATGAGTATGTGTGTGCGTGTGTGTGTGTGCGTGTGTGTAATAAACGGCACTCCCACCAGCAGGTGTGTTGAGGGCAGTTTCCAGCTGCAGCCGCTGGCATCTCTACAAGGACACCCATCATGGCACCCATCAGCACCCACACCCAGCACCGAGGCTCTTTCAACTCATATTACATTTAGCCCATATATTTTAAAGAAGCGTGTATAGGTGTGAATTTTGTTTTGAATTTTCTGTTAAAAGATTGTACTGGTTTTACACCTTGAAAATCAGTCTGTGTGATGCTTTATGATAAAAACAGTATCTTAATCCTACAAAAACACTTCATTGGTGTATTCAACACTACACTGATGCTGTTTCCAGCTGGGCACATACAAATACTGACACATATAAATTTCCTTTGTGAGATCTCTCTCTGCGGAAACTCGAACTCAATTTTTTCTTTCCTCCAAAGAGGTTCCAGGCTAATAAAAATTAGCACATCCTGCCTGAGAGGTCTGACACCAAGGGCCTTATTTTATCAAAAAGATAAAGAGGATCCTGGTGATCCATCTTCAGACACTCAAACTCTCTCTTGGCTTGTGCTCCCCATGACGTTAGGTAGGTAACAACTGATTGGTTAAAAGGGTGAAAACAGTGCATTATGAGAGATAAAGCACAGAGGAGGTTTCTATGATAGTTCATCCCGTCCTGTGAAACAGCCAGAACATGTTCATGCCCATAGTCATCGAGTGGAAAAATCCAAGCCATTAATCACTGTGTAGACTATTACAGCAGAGTGAGGAGCCAAAAGGAGAACAAATGTGACAAAACCTCTGTTTCAAGGTTTGTACAAAGTATTTCAACCATTATAGCGAAACAAGTCATCTTCCAAAAACACCATGTTCAATTCAAAGCCACCTCTGACTCTGTGTGAAATCTGCCTCCTCCTCTTTGTGACTCTTGACAAATTTCACAAAAGGAACATAAATTACCTGAACACTACCCAAAAGGTCCCTTAACTGTCAAGTTTTGGATTAACTCTTTCATGTGCGATAGTTGCACACCCCACAGGGTACTTTTGGTGAGCAAACACTCAAGCACACACACATACACCCGTCTGAGGCTTACTCACCCGATGAGGGAGACCATCTGCTCCACTATGTGCCTGCTGAAGGTGACGATCACAAACAGTTTCTGTATGACAAAGAAACACACAGAAAGGACGAGTCAGTTACTGAACCATGAGGTCACTACTGGGGTGCAGAACAAGGCAGTATGTGCATCATAGTTTGATCAGTAATTCCTTAACTCCCCCACACACACTGACACACACATCCTACCCATTATGCCCGAGCCCATGCCTTGCACCACCAAGGCGGTTTGGTCTAAAGCTTTTTGTCATGGACGGGCAAAAAATAAAAGGCCTGGGCTCTGACACACAACCAACACCATACACTTGGTCAGCATATCACACTGGCTGTCATCAGAAGAAAGTGTGTGTGTGTGTGTGTGTGTGTGTGTGTGTGTGTGTGTGTGTGTGTGTGAATGTGAATGAACGGATAGATTGAGGACTACAGGAATCAAAGGAGATGTGTCACTGCTTCTGAGGGGGTCTGGAGACCGGCTCCTGTCCGGTCTGATTCCTGCTTAGTCACTGGAATGAACAGACAGGCGACTGGCAGCCATTCTGGCTCATATCATCCCTGTGTCCTCCTGCAGGGGGGCAGTAACATGCACCCAATAATTGACCACATATTTCAAGTTTCTTTACTTGCCCTCTAAGTTGTTGTAGGTTACTGTATTCTTATAAACAAACATAAGCATTTTGACCACTAAAAATGTGGTTTGATCCAGTAACGTTTAGGTTGCCTTCAACATGACATTAGAAAGGCTTAACCCAACAGAGCTTTTAGCGGGTCCATCATTACAAACTCATGTTGTGCTGAAAAGGATTGTTCAAAGCCGCAGAACCTTTTTTTAAATTCTAGATCCCAGATCAAGGTCTCCAAAGATACTAAATATATACTGCCGAATTACAGGGAAAAGTATAAAGTATAAAATGATACATGAGACATCTAGAATTTTCCATTTTATGAAATGATGGAGCCATAAAAATATCATCTTTGATTTGAATATTTCACTCAATATAAAAAAAACGTGAAGCTTCAATTAGAAGAATATATTATATAAAGTGAAATCTGAAAAATGTCTTATCTAAATTAGGCCACAAGTGGTTAAAGATCTCATGTTTTTCAGTTGACATTATTTCAGTTGCAATTACGTATATTGAGCCTCAAGATTAGCAAAAAATTTGTCATGATGCTTTTTGCAGCAAGTTAAATGGTACAGATCAAATAAAAAGGAACACTACTTCCTGACATGCAGATCAATGCCAATTCTGGACCTTGACTGGCTATTGAGTAAGGTAATTATATTGATTAGTAGTAGTTTTAAGGTACATATGCTACAAACTGACTTAATTGGGAGGATTTTAGCAACAATTTAATGAGGACCACCAATAACTTCAGAGAAAATTTAAAAACAATGAAAGTGTTGAATTTATAAACTACAACTATAGGAAATATACAGAGTAAGATAAATTACATGATAAGTGAACAAAAATGAATGTGACATCCAGAACACCACTTTTACATGATTACAATGAAGATAACTCGGCACTAGGACTAATTTTATTTTCATGTGACATGAATCTTGATCAGTGCTTAGATCAAAGCGGGCTGTTAGTGTTCATTGTAAGGTTATGTAATATATCATCCAGGTCATACATGTATTGTCATTTGGTTGTCTTTTAATTTGTGTGGGTCTTTAGCCTCAGGAGCTCACTGATGGTTAGACAGAATGAGCGCAAGACTTGCAAGCAAAATGTTGGCAATGTCGCAAAAATAACTAAACTTATAATTGACATGTGCCATGATAAAAAAAGACTGACGTTTGCTGTTACACTATTTCTGTGCCTCGCAGAAAATAAACATGACACTGTGCAGCAAGTAAATCCCCTCATGGCAACTTTTTAACTGCAACTTCAGTAAGACGCACTTGATTAGAGTTTTTGTTGTTTTTGTTTGATTTTGTGCACACACATCTCCCTAACAAATACTGACAACTGATCTATGATCCCACACAAAGCAAGGAGGAAGGAACAGCAAGATGACCGACGCACAGGAAAGCTGACTAAGATGCCTTAAATGTGTCTGCTCGGAAACTGGTGGTGACATGGTCTTAACTTGCTGATTTCAGTTAACTGATAATTATCTGATAAGAGCTACACACATCCCAGTCATAACAATTTTTTCACATACTAACAAGAAGTAAGTGTTACAGCAGTTCTCAAAAGAAAAGGAAGGAACATTCATTACCAAGAATCATGAGGTGAACTGAATGAATTGACAGTAATATGGAAGTGAGAGTATCCTGCTTTTTTGGAACTCTTTTTTTCACAAGTTGACAATACACAACGTACACACAACTGAAAGAACGACATGTCACGCAGTTGTACATTGTTAAACACACAGGAACACAGAATACAAACCAACCCCTCCCAGGATAAGCACCATGCTTGCATAGACAACACTCAAGCAGCTTTTTTGGAAATTATACAATGCATACATTCTGACTAAAAAGTCATAGGGCGTAACAATAACAATACTCTTATTTAATTTTTGCAATACGAAAGTCTATGCCCTCTGCCACACCTAACAACTCTTCTGTCCTCAGCAAAATCACCTGTCTCAAGAGCCCGACATGTGTATTTCCATGACATCAGCCCTCATCCTCAAGTGACCTGCTGACGTTGGCCATTCAACAATGGACGTCCAGACGTAAAGCTTAATGAGCATAAAAGGCAGAAGCAGCGCAGAGTAAAAAAGCCTCTCCTTGGAGACTGCTGAGAACACACCTGAAGCACAGGTACAAACCCAGATCAAAAACATGCTTTGAAGCACACACACACACATACACACACCCACACACCACAAGCTTCAAAATCCCCTTTTGTTCCCTCTTGGGCCATGAGGGAGAACGTCACCTGCTCTCCAGTTCTTCTAATACTTCTTTTTTTTTTTTACTGAAACTACTGAATCATTTGCATTGGAAGCAAAACCTGAGCTTGAGGTAAATTAAACCAAACAGCTACAGGAGTGACTGGGGCCTCCAGACATGCCGGAGAACTGGGTGAAGTCTTTCTTTCTGTGAGACAGAGATGGACACACCTCTGTCAGTGGGGGCCCCTGGGATCCCTGGGTGTAATCTGGTACTGTGTGTGTGATTGTGCCTGTCATGCATGCAACAACCCCCACCTCCTTTCCTCCCACTTCTCCCCATCTCTCCCTCTCTTTCTCCATCACCTCCCACAGACAATGTTTATCTGCTTTAGCTCGTGCTCACTAAATTCACCCCCCACCACCACCTTTTTTCTCAGTTTGGTGCAGGACAATGCTTTCTGCGTATGATAAGGAATGAGACAGAGTGCAGAAAAAACAAACTGCTTTGCTTTTAACCCTTCCTCTCTGTGTCACAATGAGCAAATTCCAGCGTTTGCTTAGAAAACAGAAAGTCGAGCCCCTGGCGGTAATCACAGACATACTGGAAATTCCTGGACGCAAATTGAGGATTTTCCAGGATTAGAAGAAACTTGTGTGATGCCAAGTCTCCCAACAGCACTTTCTTATTCAAGGGTTAGGATGTATCTTTTATTTTCCTATAAGTTCTCAATCTGTTGCAGTCTGTCAAGTCTACTGTACAATGTACTGGGGGTGCTGCAGCTGCAATCACAAAATGGTTGACTCCCCCTACTTTGGCTGCACAAAATGGCCTCCCTACTACCAGCCGAGTACTACAGCACAGAGATGCTGTGCATGAATGTGATTCATTATTTAACACACTTCTGCCTCTGAACAATATTAAATTAAACTTTGGCACAAATACGTTTTTCTGTGTCTCTGCTGGATGAAAAGTATGTGAAAGAGTGCTCTACTGTACTCTACTGTACACAAGTCTCAACTGTATTTATATGAACTTTTTTGGTGCTGGTGGTGGTCAGCCCAGGCATTACTTACATGAATGTATATTATTAAACTGAAGCTCACCTGAATGTGCATTTTGATGATGGCTTTCCCAATGAGTGTCGCACCAAAAAAGGTCCAGAAGGGGACCAAAAAATGTCCACATGTTATTCCTGCCAGGTCAAACAAAGGATTTGGAATCTGGGGAAAAAACAGAGGTGATCAAATTTGATAGAGTGTAAATTTGTCTCAAGAAATACAAAACAAATCATATAGGGAAAACAATGAAGCACAATATTGAAATCTAATCCATGTAGTATTTTTTATTGCAACAGGTACACCTACACAAGGCCACCGATGCCATGAGAATATCTGATACTTACTTAAATGTACATTTCATAATATTTACTTTTTCTACATATTTTGAACAATTCAGAACTGATATTTACCTCGAATAGTACATACATGTCAATATAAAGTCAATGTGAACATGACAAAATGATTTTGGGGGTGAAAATGATTTCATAGGAAAATTAGTATATGTGAGATTTGACTTACAGAAGCACAGGCTAAAATCCCTAAGAATCCGACCCTCTGGATGAGTTTCTGCACTGCTACTTTTGCACGAGTGGCAAAGTCCTGAAACAAAGCAGAAGTGGGAAAAATGGGATTCAATTTTCTCTCGAGACTTGTTGATATTTAGCTGATACTGATCCCCGGCTGTATGTATGTATACAGTATATATACAGATAGAGACAATATAGACATCACTTTGTTTACAACAGACATCTCAAACTTGGTTCACAGATTTTTACTAAACCGCAAATTGCAAAAATAGTCATTTATTCTTCTTCTAATTACTGTTGTAAATTTTCTATCAGATACATATAGTGTCTTGCTTGACTATGTTTGATGGATTCAAACTGTTTAAAATGATTCATTATTTACATTTCATAAGATAATTATTCACAATTAATATGGATTTGGATTTCAAATCATTAATTGAGATACTGAAACTTTTATTAAGGGCAAATTAGGGCAGATAGTTTTTTCAGTGTCTTTAAAGCAGTTATGTGTAAGAGGGAATATCACAGAGGTGTGTGAATAAATGTGTTTATCCAGCAGCAGTGTTATTTTTGAAGTGATTTTTATTGAATAGTTTGAACCCCAATAAAATGTGACATTAAAATAAGTGAAGAATTTAGGATAATATCTTAATTTTGAATAACATCTTACAATCAAAGATGTGCTTTTAGTATTTCCCCGTCATCTCTGAATGTTAATGTTTCATCTTATTTACAAATTATTGTCTGTGAACAGACAGTAAACCTTTCCATTTTATATCTAAAAACATATTGGTGTCTAAATGAAACGAAAAACCAGTGAATAACTGTGTTTTATAATTTCTGCTTGTTTTTAAATAAGTGCAAAGGAGCAGCAGCTGCAACAGGAGGATTTTCTACTTCATATAAATGTGCCTTCAACAAAAAAAATGTAATCAGTTACTGAATAAGATAGCAACTGACAAACACAATAATTAGAGCTTCGGAAATTAGATGCACAGCAGTGCAAATTGTTTAGAACTTTAACATACATATAATTTAATGGACTGAGCATCAGAGTGGTTTTCACTTAACAAATCTTAAAATTTGTGTTTCTAGTTTAGTCTTAATTCTAAATTATACAAATCTCTAAAACCTAATACTAAAGCTTGCATTTTTCTAAATATTTGCACTGTTGTAATTCTAATTTATCCACATTTATCAAAGTAAATGTGAAAACTTTAAGTGATGAGGAACTCTTGGTGGGGAAAAGTGGCCTGCTTGTTTATATTTATCATAAAAAAACATTAACTCATCTAATAATAAACAACTTCTTCGAGGGAAAATGTATTGATTCAAATATTTTAATGAAGAAAGTGTGGTTCACAATTAAATCAAGTCCAGATTCATGACCGTTCTGCTGGCATAAATATCTTCAAGTTCACAGCTAAAATGCACTGATTCACCTGCCACATATTCTAAAATAATTACAAGGCTCCTCTCTAAACATGATTTTTGATTCTAGAAGAGCGATAAACTGGTTTTAGCACGTCTGTATCTTCTATTGCCAGTTATTAATTCCATTGTCACTGAGAATGTGAGAACAAGACAACAGTCTTTGGTCATTCCAGTGACTAACAAATTCTTATTTTCTTTGCTGGTCTTGCCCTATCCCTTTTGACAGCTCCACAAAAGCCTCTTTTCACAGCAGTGACACAGATTTTTCCCCAATATACCTTTTCTGGGAAGAGGAGCTTTAATCTGTTTGGATTTTACCTAAACTAGTTTTGGGAAGACAGTGGGAATGCAAAGGAAAGCCCCTGATACTGGACCTTTTATATTTTTGGATGGCAATATCAAGGTAATTTATAAAAAAGTTTACTTCTATACCATGCTAGATTTACGATTGTTTAATTAAAATGAATGAATGAATTGTTTTTGCACAGGAATTGTTTGATTCTGGGTAGAAATCAAAACTCTTGAAACAATAACAATAAAATAAACTAAAGACACTTTATTTCCAAAATATTCAAAGCAAGATTTTTTATTTTGTAGGCCTAAATATGTTAATAATTTGATCTGCTGGATTTTACAGCCAAAAACTGCACAATGGCTTTCATTCTTCATTATTTTTAAATTTGTATTAATTTACCTTGAAGTTGTTGTACTTTTATCATGAAAAACTGTATAACAATATTATTTCTCTGTAAAGTTAATGAAATTACTGTAGTAATACTGGCTGTTTTTAAGCGCTGTGAAGTTGTCAATATATTAATGTAATTATATTTCTTTAACACAACTCTTTACAGAATAAAGCCTTAAATGTAAGCTTAATTTATCTTTACATAGAATTATCCTCAAAAACAATACCTTTTTGTTTGTTTTTATTTAAATGTGTGTGCAACTGTAACAAATGCATATAATATAGTTTGTACTAGATATATGAAATGACGTAGATGTTTTGTATTAAGCATCTTTTTGTGCCTTTTAGATTTAATTTAAACTCATCATATATTTGTGAACATAATTGTAATTAATGTAAAAACCGCACAATTAAAAAAAAACCTACAAATGTAACGTTAGTTCTTAATAACAAGCATGTAAAGGCTTCTGTTCCAAAGTTAGACACTCTCCATTTAAAAAGATCTTTCACATTGACTGCTGATATGAACATGTAATTATGCTGGTATTAAAGCTTACATTCACCTTAAGACATTTATAAAATTGTCTATTTTTCCTGAACACATCATTGATGTTTCCTGATGTTTTTCATGTAGCAAATTGTCCAAAAATGCATCTATTGAATCTTAAAATGAAGTCCTCACATAGTTGGTGGTTTGTGGTCTGTGTTTAAATATTTTAAGTCTAAATACCTTTAATGAATGTTTGTGAAGTAGATTTTCCCACTGAACGCATATTTTTCTCACCTAAAACAATATCAAATCAACTGACAAAGAAACAAAGGAAAAAGACAAATTTGTTTCACATGAACATGCAAGAAAGAATTGTGTTTTTCTAAAAAAGTAAGGCCTCAGTTTCTAAAACACCATATTAATTTTGAAAAAATTAGGCTCAGTAGGGGGCTGGCAATGCATGATCATACCTAATATGGTCAACAAAACCAGTACAGTGCTGATGACATTCTTTATGGGGTGCAACCAAGCAGACAGGAAATTTGAGAGACATGGGAGGTCGCCTAATAAGGTGGTGGTGGGGGGAGCGAAGGGACACAGGATCTGATTGGTTCACAATTTGAATTTCTGCCTCCACTGATGTCCAATCATGAAGGTTTCTCTTTGGACTATCTTGTAGTTTTAATTCTAGCCTTTCCCCATGTGTGCACATGTGTGTGTGTGGGTGTGCATGTGTGCGGGGGAGTGTGCGTGTGGAGGGAAGGAATGTGTATGGTTGGTTTACAGCTGAACCGCTGAGGACTGTGTCTGGCCCTGGGACACCTGACAACTGCCGGTGTTGCAGCGCAGACAGAACCCTGCAGAACCAATCATTGCCATGGAGACGGCCTGTGAATCCCATTCATTTTCTGACATCATGACACTTGCATTGTTTACATTAGGTGCCGTAGTTTAGCTTTTGGCTCATGCAGTGAGAGCGAGCATGAAAATATCACCGCAGCGTGAACAAAGGGTCCCTGAGGAGGTGAGGGGAGGGTGTAAAAGGGTGTGTGTTGTGTGTGTGCGAACTTGTGACACTGTGATTTACTATAGTTGAACTATGTACTTGGACTCTCTCTCTATTCTGCATTTCTGGACTGGGGAAGCGTCTATCTTGGATGGCTGGGGTTCAGACATCCAGACTCTGTTGTTGGCGGCTTATGGAAAATCACCATCTTTGCCAGGCAGCTTGCCAAGGGCTGCCTGCACACCCCCCCTCCACCCCCTTCACCGCCGGCCTGCAGGGCTGGGCTTAGCAGCAATTACATTTGGTAAAATCTTGTCAAGGGTGCAGCGTCATTAAAACCATGGAGGTTTTGGTTCCAGGTTTGGCTGCTCGGCACAGATGCTTTACTCAGTAGTCTGCAGAATCACCCCACATGGAGCCGACTTCTGTGGGAAACAATAGTCGCATTTGAGCTGTTGTTTATAGGTTTGGATTCCCCCCCCCATAACTTCTGACAGTCAGATTAGCAAATTCCTCATTTGAACAAGCAAATCATAAGATCATAAGTGCTTCTCAGTAAACACATTGTACCGTTTCTGTCTCTTATGTTTTACAGTTTTCCTGCCATGCGTTTCATGAACATGTTTGTGAAAAATAAAGAGTTTTTGAAATAAAATGGCACAGCATCATTACTAACATAAGAAATGTACCACTTCTGTTTTGATTTAATCACAGTAAGTATACTGTAGATTAATTGATGTAATAAATGATTAATAGCAGGGTGTGTCTCACAAAATTAGCATTAATGGAATTACATCACCAGGATAATTGAAAATTAGATTAAATTGGTATTAGGTGCATGGCAAAAAAATGACTAAGTACAGAAACATGTCCTGTATTAAAATTGGTGAGGATGAAGCAGAGTAAGCTCTACATTTAACGTAATAGTTTGTCTGTGGTTACAGTTGCCAGGTGATGACAGTTATTAGAAAAATCCACAGGGAAAAAACAGCAAGAAGACAGTTTTTTGAACTTGATACAGCAACCCCAAAGTATTAACAGGAAAAACTCTAGTTCTTTGACTTGATACTGATATACTGTTAATGTAGACAGGATCTGTTTTGAGTGACAGGCTTTTGAAATAACTATGATACTGAAGTTTTTCATCTGAAATGCATTATGGTATGATATCTGTTTATTTTGGATCTGCTGAAAAGTTGCTCAGCGGGTTCTCTCACAAAAAACGTGGGCTGTTCATTGTGAAAAAGTTGGCAAAACAATCACTTTGTTTTCAGTAGTCTTTGGTAGTGCTGATGGGGTACAGAGTTCAAACATAGACAAAAAGCAGGCAGCGACAAGGAACTCTACTCCATGTGGAAAATTAAAGTGTCAGACAAGGAAAAATCTATGCATAGCCTATACACAAGTCAACACCCACGCACATTTTTTTCTCTCCCTCTCTCTGTGTTTTCTTTTTTTTTTCTCAATGAAAGTCTTTCACACAGAAGACACACATCTCCGGAGCGGTCGCGAGCCCCCCGACACGATGACGGCTAAAGTTCATCTCATTAACTCCTGACAAGCCCGCGCCTGCTCTCTCTGGCACAGGAAGTTGAGTGATTAAGGACTCCTGACGCAATAGAAGCTACAGTCCCCTTTCAAGAAAAAAGAAAAAAGAAGAGCTACACATTCAAAGCTATCTGGACATACACTCACATACACACAAAAAAATGCACCCCTGAGTCCACGTTGACAAATTCTTTAACAAGCTGTGGTTAAAGGGAAGCTGGTTTTACTCTGACTCACCCCCCTCCTTTCAAACAGTTTACTGGAAATAAAGAGGGAGGAGGAGGGAGGGGGCACTTTCAGAGAAGTCACGTGACGGGGCCGGGCAAACCACAGCACAGAGAGCCTTTGAGTGCAGTAGGCCAGGGGGGAAGGCAGGCATACGCCCAGCGCAGATGGCCCTGATTTGAGTTACAGGAGATACGATCCTGGGAGTTGGCAATCAAGAATTCACAGCCTGTTAACCCCTTCCGTGCCGGATAAAAAAAAAAAAAAAAAAGACAGGAAATAACTTCATTATCAAGTTACAAGCAATCATGGACTCGATCCATGCAGGATCCTCTGGGACGGTCTGTGTCGATACTGAGGATTCCTCTCCAGCACACGAGTGCTCTTGTACCGAGCTAAAGATTTAAGAGGGGAAAAAAAGCTGATGTTCATGACATCAGCGTCTGGAGCCGTTAGAAAAGGCATGACTTCATTAGTCTTGAATAGCTCTGTTGAATGAATGAAAAAAACCCCAGAATACTGTGCTGCTGTGCATCACGTGCACTTGTGGCAGGAAGTTGGCACGTGCAGGCTGGGAGAAATACCACTGGGTTTAAGTCAAACTTCTGGCACCTACAAACCTCTGTGACTAGAGCGAAGGGGACGAAGTCAGCATCTTAATCCGGCTCTGCTGCCACAGGGTGGAGTGTGTGTGGGAGAGAGTCTGACCGTGTGTGTGTGGGCATGGGGGATAGGGTTGAAGGGGTGTCACATCCTTGAGGACAAAAGTTAACCACTTCCTGTCTAATACACAACGATCCAACGATATCAAAGTTTCTCCAGTCCATTCCCAGTGGAGTCTGTTTCCACTTTGGCCTACTACTATTGATTGTAAGCTTTCAATGAAAAACTCTGACACAAATCCACAGCAGATTAATGCCTCCATGTCCACCTTAAAAGGTGGAAAAAGGGTAAAAGGTGGAAAAGTGAAAATCAGAGAGGTCATGCGGGATCTCCTTGAGCGAAAGAGGGAACCCTGAGAACATCCGAGTAACGGTAAAAGCTGTGGCGAGAGAAAAAATGTTTCCGTATGTAGCAGGTCCTCGCTGGTGCTAGCAACCTGCCTCCAGATGCTGTCCAATCACATGAGCACACATTATATACATACACACGGCTGCCAGATATCATCAGAGAGAGAGAGAGAGAGAGAGAGAGAGAGAGAGAGAGAGAGAGAGAGAGAGAGAGAGAGAGAGAGAGAGAGAGAGAGAGAGAGAGGAAGAGAGAGACAGAGAGGGAGCGCAATGCACAGTGGGAGACAAACTCAGTGCATGAGAAAGAATAAGAGCATACGAAGAAAGGGACAGAAAAATAAACAATTTCAGTGAGAGCGAGACTAACACTGACTCCTGAGACAGCAGCATGCAGCGTCACTTCTAATCTGCCCTCATACGGATGCAAGACAAACAGACGATGCTCCTCCTGCGTCACACTGTTAGTTTGTTTGGGAAAAGACACACAGGAGTTCTTCAATGCTGAGATGATCATTTAGACAAGATGTCCTCTTCCCCACGCCATCTGTCTCACGCTTCCACTGTCTCTGCTCTTTTCTCACATTTTCAGTGGGAAGCGCCACTTTATCAGTAAGTGATGTCAGAGCTCCACTCTCACACATGTGGTCTGAATGCCAATGCTGTGGTTGGTGCCAACCTACCCAGCTGTCCACATCATTAGTAAAAGTGGACCATACAGCAGGTGCTGCACCCCGGCCCCTTGTTATCGAGCAGCTCGGATTTTTCTCGCCACATTTTTTGTGACTTGAATCAGTTTCGGCATTAGCGTTTCAAAATATCACTTTAGTTTGTGTGCCGGGAGTTAAACTATGCTGATAATGAATACAAGTGATGCAATATTTTCTTTTAGAAGAACAACACTAAAACTACACACATACAGCGCATCTTATTTATGAGTACAAAGGGCTCTCATGACTCACATGCTTTTATTTTGAAAGACTATTTGAATTATTATTTAAAGGACCAGTGTATAGGATTCAGTGGCATCTAGTGGTGAAGTTGCAGATTGTAACCATATGAATACAGCTCAGCCTCCAAAGCATGTAGGAGAACCTACGACGGCAGCGAAACCTGCAAAAAGATTAACATGGTGGTTCAACATGGTGGCCTCCATGGAAGAGGACTCGCTCCCTCTATAGATAAAAAGCACTCATTCTAACAAATTTCAGGTGATTATACATTAATGAAAATATACCTATGAATATTATATTCAGTTTCCAATTTACAGACCAACTATTGTTAGTTGGGAAACTGACAGTTTTAGGAGTATGTGACCCAGCCAAAGTCAACCTCTGCTTAAAAATGAAGACAAAAACTGCAGTTCCTCCGACAGCCGCCTGAGGCTGGCTGCAAAAGTGAGTCAATCTTCAGAAGCCCCGATGATAAAATGCCCAGCTTCACAGCAGGAATAAATATGTTTACAGCCTGGATAAAAAAACTATAGACTATACAGACTATTAATTCCAAAAGGGATCCCAGTGGTGGTCCCCAGACCTCTGTTTGAGGACCACTGATTCAGTGTGGAAATTAATTATAATTCTTGTGTTTAACTATCTCAAAAGCAAATCAAGTGACATTATTGGTATAGATGGAGTGATTTTCTCTGTTTCAAGATAATAACTTGCTACTAGAAAACTGTGACAGTTATAACAACACTGGAAACAAGTGAAATCTTGCTGGAAAAATGTTCCACTTATTTAAAATAAATAGCGAGAATTTATTAAGTAGTTCCGTCAAATATTATTCCATTGTTTGACATGTTTTGTCATGAGCATGTTGAGGCAAAATGTACTACTATCTATATACAGACTGAGCTCAGGTTATGTACACTTTTTGTACATAACCTGTTTAACGGTTTGTGTACATTTGTTTGACACCTTACAAAAAAAAGAATGTAGTAATTTTAACTTTTTTTTTTTTTTTAACATATGAAGACAGATAAAGGAACAATACACACAGGGATACAAGGCAACAACATGGAAAATACATTTGTTGTATGGGACTAGATCAGAATAAATGACGGTTAGAATGAATTTTTCCCCTTGTTTTTCATTTGCCTTTTGGAATTACTGCATTATCAAAGATAGCATGTCAGTACTGAATCAAACAATATAAATATAATCTGAATCATTCAGTAATCCCCTGCTATCTGGGATTCTCTCTTTAAAAATGTATTTGTCAACAGTCTGGTACTGTCTGTTACAGTTTATTTGCAAATACAAGAGTAAGTGAGTCTGTTGTAAAGTTCAAAACCATTTATGGATGCAGTTGTTTTACTGCACTTGACCTGTCTGACTGTTTGACCCACACTGTTGGAGAGAGAAAAGCATTCCTGAGGATGAAGACTGTCAGGACAGACAGGTCTGATGAAAAGCCTTTATAAAACCACACGCATGTTTCCCCTCATTCCTCCTCCTCCATTCATAATCACAAGAGGGGGAAAAATAAATATTTACAATGAGCTGTTAGGCATTGTTGAAACATTTGCAGGGATGTTTGATATGAGAACATTTTTTGCAGGGAATTTCAAAATGAAGGGCCGGAAATGGTGGGAACATTTTACTCGAGTGCATCATTGCTGTTTTCTTAGTCATAACGTTGTGAAAGCACTTAAATCCCATTGTACCGTTGAGACAGTGAGGTGGGGCTAAGTCAGTGACACACAACACACACACACACACACACACACACACACACACACACACACACACACACACACACACACACACAGGGTACAGCGTGGTTAATCTGGCACACCAGATTTCACTTCAGGGAGATTGCTATGGCCAATTTAGGAAAACACCAGAACTGTGAAAATAAATGAACGCCAAAAGCAGAGCAATTAGAAATTAAATGGTACAAGTGATAACAGAGAGATAAAGAACAAGCGTGCAAGTGCAAAAGAGCAGAGAGGTGAAAATGAAGTGAAGAAGGTAGAAGTAGAAGTTATAGATTAACAAGATGAGCGTTGTGGGGGTTAGAGGGAAGGACATGATGCAGGGTGCAGTGCGTCACCTGAGCAGATTGGGTCTGATCAAGCATCTCCTCAAATCTCTGGTAGTCCTCGTCGTCAGGGTCAGCGCCGGACAGCCGCGCAGCCCGGGCCATGAAGTAGGGAGGAAGCTCTCCTATAGCTGTACCTGCACCCTGCTCACACACAAACACACACATACAGAGATTCTTACTTACTGTTGCTCAGTTGTTCATGTTTACTGTACTTCCTGACGTGAGGTTCTTCTGTATATTGTTTTGGCAGGCGATAAATTCAACATAGCTTTTACAGAAAGAGAGCAAGAGATGTCAGTTGTTTTGAACAGTGCAGGTTGTTTATTTCTTTATTAAATTAGATGCTGTGGCTGATTTCATTGGTTTAAATTGTGTTTTTTTTTATTGTGCATTGAGTAGTTTGGTTGTAAAAATGCTATATTTGTCTTAATATCATGCTAATTATTATAACAAGCATGTTACCATTGTCCCTGGGGGGTTAATGGAGCAAAAATATCAATATCCACTATCCAAAGGAGCTTGCACCGCTTGACGTCTGGGATTGTGCGATCAGAGCACTTAATGGGAATAAAACGGAAAGGATTTATGTGAGCGAAAATCCCACAGATTATTAAACGATCATGGATACATAAAACACAGGCCTAGGGAAGGTGAAAAACCAGATGCCACCTCTAAACAGCATATCAACACACTGTACCGCTAACTGCTCTGTTCCAATCTGCTTTGGACACGTGGAATGCAGTGTTTCTGGAAAATTTAAGAAGTGCTAACAAACCCAAGGGGGTCTAAAGGAACCAAGATATCGATATCTAACAGTCAAAAGGAGCTTGTAGTTATAAAGCGGTGAAGCCCGTGTGATTCAGGGGGGCTTAACAGGAAGAAAGCGGAAGTGATTTGAGGGAAATAAATCCTCAGCACTTGGTCGGTTCACCCAGTTCATACCCCCAAAACATGAGGAGGGGGGGAGTGAGGGGTGAGGGCTACAGACTTAATTAACACAATGAAAACAGCCGCCAAGAAATGCTGTGTTTTTGGAGTTGCTCACAGCTCATTACTTTAATGTTTCCAGGCACAGGGGGAGAGTAGGGGTGCAAGGGGGGATGAGAGAAGATACTAAGGATACAGTAAGTGTTAGTTACTATCACAGAGGGCATATGGATGATTTCAAGCCCTCACACATCCCTGACATCCTACGATCCACAGCAATGAAAAAGTTAAGCTCTTGGACCGAAATAAAGTTCTTTAGGTGGAACACGCACAAAATCATAGCTTCAATCTCTCTCCCAGAAGAACATAACTAACTAATCACAGCCACATTACTTGTATGTAGCTGGATGGCTGAGCCAGAAGATGATTAGTGAGTAGTTAGCAACCATGGCAGCAACAACAAGCCCAAACAATCATTCTCAGGAGGCGGTGCTATCCCAAAACCTGGCAGACTGCATCCTTAATCTGGACACCCTGTTCTGTTGTTAACACTGCAGTCTTTGATGAAATCTGCCAGTTTTTTCTCATAATGGAGACATGCCCTAATCTCCCTGGCAGCTGCTCCATTCAATAGCTCTGCCTCTGTTTGTGAGCGTGCATGCGCCTGTGTGTTTGTGTAGGGGGTAGTGAAATATGTCCACCTGCACAGTGGTGGTGTTTGAAGTGGAGCACTTAAGGGAGCTGCAGTAGTGGACAGAGAGGCTTCAAGAGGGAACAAAAAAAGACAGAAGAGAAAGGAAGAAACAGAAAGGAGAGAGGAGGAGAAGAAGAGGTAAGTGGTAATGGCGGTGGTGGGAAGGGCAATATCTAATGTCTCATCACCAGTGTGTCCAGAAGATGGGAGGCTGGCAGTAGGAGGGGGAATGTTGGTGTGGGTGCTTTGAAACCGGGGTGGGCACAACAGGTGTCTCCAACTGTAGAGCTGACAAGCCTCAACCAAGGCCATGCCAGGCTGGGGTTACAGGGGTGTGGCTGTGACAGGGTGGTGGTAAGTCCAAGGGGATTGGGTGGCACACACACACCCACAAACACGGACTCCTGTATCACACCTCAGAGCATGGTTCTGCTGCTGGGTTCAGAGAAAATTTGACTCCAGTTTGAAACATCAATACATCAAACCTACAGACTTTTTTACGTGTAGGATTGGTGTGCCTACACATACACACACTAAATAGGATGGGGTATGTCTCATAAAACAACATGAAGCTATTATAAGGGGTAAAAGGTGAGGATCACAATATCATATTACAGTATCATTTTTTATATTAGATTAATATTAGGGCTTAGTTTAGCATGTAAAGAAAATGGTAAATGTTTGGGTTAGAAAAGAAAAGTGTGGGAAATTAACTTAATTTTTAACCAACCACTCAATTGTAAATCAGTCCCACTCATATTTTGCCAGCATCAGGCTAGTGACTGGTGCTAAGGGGGGTATGCAAGGGGATGATTATGCAATAAATCAAAACCATTTTTATAACATGGGTATGTGTCCAACTTTGCATTTGTAAGTGTGTTTGTGTGTGTAGTTAATGTATTACTAACAATAAGGAAGCCTGAAGGCCAATTACATTTGAGAGCAGGCTGTGGAAAACCTGCCTGGTTCCTGTAAAGTTCATGGTTGTGACGAAGTTCCCCCTCATCCTCACATCAGCCCCTTCCACATTATGTAGAACAGGGAAACAGATAACAAAGAATGATAAAACTCTTATCACGTGTTACTGACCAAGTTCTCTATTCTCAATGTTCGTCAGTTCTGCCTTTTTCACAATTAAAAAAAAGGAAACTAGCGATAAGAGCGGAAGACACTGCAGTTATAAAGAAGTCAATACAGGAGTGTGACTTCTAGAACATTGTGGTACATCTCTGTTCTTGTTTTTATGTGTTCTGCATGAGTGTGTGAGTGGTACAAGCCATTGTGAGTGGTTTCATGGTAACTCTGAGACATGTGTGAGTCATTGATAAACCACTTGAGCCGAGTGTAACTAGAAACCCAGGTAGAAGGCTGTCCTTTAACTCCAAGGTTTAAACAAACTCTGGCATTATAAAAGCCAGAGGTATTATGAAAGCATTGTTTTGCAATTAGCATGTTATTTTTATATACTTAGACAATATAATACAAAAAAAAAATTAAAACATTTTTATTCTGGTCCTAAAATAACTTCATAGATTGAAAATATTTCATCTTTCTCGGCAGCCACAAGGCTGGTTAGAGGTGTGAAACCACCAACACTGCATGGGGGGAATTCACGGTAAGAAACTGGGGTTTTCCAAGCAAATGAGTTATTATCAATGAAGACATTTGCACCCACAGTGTTATTGCAAATTAGCATAATTTCTAGCTTGATCCTTTATTGGTGGAGATACAGCAAAGACAATAATGAGTACGTAAATAATACCACAGCATAAATTGCATGTTAACTAAGAAAGACATAATTTGTGCACCTAATTTGGAGTGTACAGTTTGGTCATTTTCATGTTTCTACCACAATCTCTCTCTTGACATCTTTCAAAGCAACTGGATAAATTCAGAAATGCATGGTGGTCAATCTGAAAACTCCCAAGAGTTGTCTCCCAAGAAACTGGCATTTGGGAGATATGGGTTTTTTACCTGACAGCAACAATATTTCAAAGCACACGCTCTGAATACTGGTCAAAGCTGTGGCGAATGTGCAAGGTCACTGCAAACTGCGACCAAAACTGAGACATATTTATAACTCTGTTGCCTGCTGTTTAGCTTTTCCAGTCTAAGGATGCACAACCAGTGTGTAACAGGCACTCACCCACATGCAAGCTTCGAGGCGGACTTTGGAGATGATGGTCCAGAGAGAGATGCTTCCCTGGATGGCTGCTGACCCCACCAACCTGTCTCCCCCTGAGGCCTCCACACCCACCTGCTCAGCGTCAGAGCCTGGTGTGGGTGCTTCCTGCTGGGGACAGACAATTTGGTCGGGATAAGGTGGCTCGGGGAAATCCACTGAGCCACATTCATAGGCCGCCAAGGTCACTGATGCTATGTGTGGTCCCTGAGAAATGGAGAGAGAGAGAGAGAGAGAGAGAGAGCGAGAGAGAGAGAGAGAGAGAGAGAGGCAAAGAAAAAGGAAGATGAAAAAAGAGAGGAGTGAAAATTAAGAGTGGGAGTGAGTCCACCTTTTAGAAGTAGTTTTGAGTCAAGGGAAGACCCCATTGTTATTAGCACAGGGAGACAAAAGTGACAGCAGTGAGTCAAATACTGATTGATAACATCAAGACAGTTAATATGTGGGCCAGTATGTAGGCTGTTATCTCACGTAGTTCCTACAGCAATGGAACTCTTCCTCTGCTTTCACTGTAAGCTTTAAGAGGGAATTTGCGATCGAATTTGATGATTTAAATAGGCCATCAGGAAATGGAGAAAAACAAGTAACTATGATTAAGCTGGAACATTATGCAAAAGGCTGCTTGTTTCAAAACATGCAAGAGAATCAAAGTGTAAATGGATAAAGAGTGCAGGGCCCCGGGTGGAAATGATCAAAGATGGAAACCAAAGCTGGGGTATAGAAACCATTTCTCCAGTCACCTTTCCCAGGTGACATGGATGCTTACACATACACACAAACACAGCCGTGTAGCCATATGTGTGCCCACATGAAAGCAGTAATAAAGAAAAGAGCAGCAGAAAAACAAGCAGGTTCTAAAAATGGACTCTCTTCAGACAGAATTTATTAATGTTTGACTGTTCCTATTGTAAGAATGAGACATTAGCATACTTAAGGACCTGCAGTCTTTGATAAGGCCTGGTCTGGTTTATATTTCTGGCTCTTGTTTATTTACTCGTTTCAATTAGGCTTTCAGTGAGAAAACAGAGGAATCAAAGGAAGGAATAGAGGTGCAGGATGGATTTCTGGTGCATGGTGAAAGTTTATTGAGCTGCTGGCTTTGTGTTCTTGACTCGGCAAACCCTAAAACAATATCCACAATGCCGCTGAGTAGAGAGACTCCTAAGGCCACACACACACACACACACACACACACACACACACACACGACTCACAATTAAACTCAATTACACAGAAATACCAGAATGAACACATCAAGAGGGGAAATCTCCATTTCAACACACTTCTGGCATTTTTTAAATAAAGCACCAGCATTGGTCATTTGAAGTCTCCTCTCTCCAATTGTGCCTCTATTATTTTATGAGCAGTTCAACAAGTCAAAACTCCAGCAACACTTGTAGTACATAGAACAACTTTATTGTTAAGACCAACGCATTCTGGCTTCTGGCCTTAATCATTATATTTATCATTTAACACATTACAAACAACATTAAATAGGGTAGATATAAAGCAGATTAATTAATCATTAAATGGTTGAATTTAATTTAACACACCTGTTTTGAAGGGCAATTTCATGTAGCACACCTGTTTTCAAGAGTAATTGAATTTCCTATGTAGTCAAAATGTGAGCCCTGCCTGCTGAACAGAACATGGTACAAAAAGTACAATTTCTGTGAAAACCATGTAATTCCTGCAGCCTAAATTCAGTTAAATTTACTGTCTGAGAAAAAGAAGGAAACTATTTGTACAAATGGCCTTTGGTCATTCTACACTGACTCATTAGGACAATAGGGTTGATAACATCGTCTGAGAGCAAAATGTTTGATTAAGTTTTATACTGAACAGGATCCAGTCAGGAAAGGTCATGTAACTTTGCATGTAAGAAAGTATGTTACACTCTGAACACTAGTGAGATCCCTGCAAATAAAGGCAGATCCATTGAGTGGGCCGATGTAATTGTGCACTGTGTACTCTTTCTATTCCATGTGTTTACGCTAATGCGTATGTGTGTGTAGGAAGGGTGCTCCCAGTGACGCACAGGGACAGTTTGGCATTATGCAATATAGCACCAAAATGAACAGTCAACCCTGGGGTGGGGCTGGAACTTCCGGAGCTGTATTGGACAAGGCAGGACAGGACGGGACGTGGGAGGGCAGGACAGTGACGTGTGAGGCAACAGGAAACAGCAATGTCTTCTCTAGGAACAGTGCACTCCCTTTGATGACACAGATTAGTTTCTATACACACAGTATTAGCAAGTAGGCACAGTCCCATTTTATCAATACTGTGATCATATCTAAAAAAAAAAAAAAACACTCCGAGGACTTAAAGAGAAAGGCTCTAATGCTTACACACTTGTTTTCTTACAAAAGCACTAGACAAATCGGAAAATCTTAAGTGACCCAGAGGGAGAAGTCAAGAAACTCCCAGCACTGGCCCAGTCAGACTGGATACTCCCTAGGCCCATATCCAGCCCACTGACTCTCCAGTGGGATCACACTGATCTGACACACACACACACACACACACACACACACACAAAAAAAACAGACTCCTCAAGCAGAATGTTTGTGTGGCCAAAAAAGACCATATTCCTTTTGCTCACCCCTTCCAACTCTATCGCAGGTAATGTGTGTTTACCAAACACACACGGACAGCCTGCCAAGAGAGAGTGTTGCGTGACTCGGAGTACCTGCTCTCTCTTGCTCTCTCTCTGTCGAATGCTGTGTCACTGCTTCTCACCTTACACAAAAGCCCAGTCATCTCATGTTGTCCATGTGACTCACCATTAATCTTCAGCCCAACCTACAACATCCAGGTAGCTGCCATCTGTCTCATTTTGTTTCTCACTTGGTGACACACAAACACACATTTCTTTTCCTACGAAGGCATAGTAGAGGATTAATATCAGGAGAAAAATACAAAACACACAGTGCAGGAAGCATTTCTTTCTCTCTGAGAGAAACTATTGTTCTACCTTATACACTGTTTACTATAAACAAAGTGGTGGTGAGGGTTTATGTGTGTATGCTAAAATAACTATTCCACCTCCTAACTGTGTCTACTGTGAGGTTTGTCTGATGTTGATGATGTTTGCAGCCACTAAAATACACATCAGTACTGACAGAGGCACAAAGTTCCTCTCTCTAACCCAATGGGATCCACAATGGAGGCAACATTGCTGGCATTCCTGTGGCGACCTGCAGAAACCAACGCCTGGCCTCCAAAACGAGTGGGATCCCCACTCCTGGGTATGAGTGCATCCACACAGACTTTGAGGAGACACACAGTTTGGAGTCTGAATAAGTGTCGACAATATAGCTTCCCTATAGAACACTGCGCATGTCTTTTAGAGTTCACGGTCAAAAGAGAACAGAACTAACTGTCAAACAACCAAAGTATGATATCTTTGTGTCAAAATTCAAAAATGCGTTCAAATGTGGTTCATTTTTGAAGTGTAATTACCTGTTTGGAATTTATAATTTACAGTATATAAGTGCAACTGTTTAAAGTAGTTTCTCTTGACCTGTCAGTAAACTAAGCTAGTAATGTTATGCTGTTTACTACTAAAATGGAGGACACTAGCAAGCAAAGCAAACATTTTTCACCCCAACTCTCGTAATAATTACCTACTGTTTTCTGCAAACTCACTGGTCATCCATTAATTTAAATCTTATTTGAAGCGACATCCTTTAAGTTTTTGCTTTCCAGAATGATGAGTGAAATAACTGAGGAGGACAGTGAATGTTAAAGGTACCCTGTCAAGTGTTTGACCACTTTTAGCGCCATACACATTTCTGTTATGCTATTCTACGTTGTACACTTGGCAAGGTGATGCACCAAGAAATTTAGCCATGCACCAAAGACAGGTGTGGGGCTACATTTGCTAACACTCTGAGGTGTTTGACATGATGAGGCTGAACTGATAACAAATTGATTCTGATTCTGTGTAGTAAATTGTTCTTTCACCTCTATCCTGGACAAGTGACAGTGATTGCCTGTGAGCACAGCAGTTGCTCAACCATATAAACGGAAAGGAGTTTCCTTTCAGTGCCACACCCAGAACAAAGTCTGCCTACTGAAGGAGGATGTGAAAGCTGGTTGGCCAATAGCTGCTGCTGAGATGAGCTACTGGCATGTACTGTCGACCACCTTCTCTGGTCCACAGGATGCAACACCATTGTTAGAATAGTCTTGACTTGTTAAACACAAAGTGTTATTTGCATTAGTTCAGCAGACACACACTCATAGCATAATGCACCAGTGTAGGCATGATGACTTGAATTGCAACGCAACTTGTGCAAGAAGGGGGCTTTTTACATTTGAAATGATAAGTACTGTTTCACTCTATACATGGAAATAGATGCAGTGGAGTGAATGAGCTTATAATGAAATTTCATCACATTGAATTTCAAAAACCAGTACATTCCCATTAGGAAGTAGTAGCACACAACAGTCAGATTCAAAGTATCAGCTGTCTGTAGGTTATAAATAATTTTTTTTTTTTAAACCACAGAAATGTTTGCAAACCTTCCCAATTTAAATGTTCTATACTAGGCTACACTTTAAATTATCAAGGATGAAAGAGATACACACTGTATGGGGGAATACGAAATTATAGGATCCCTATTGTATTGTTGTTAATCATGAGACCCTACCAGATGCAGCCCATAATTGTACCGGCAACCAGTCATGGTGTGGCCTCCTCTTGTTAGTTCACGGTGGCAAATGAAGTTTCTTCCGAAGCTCCAAAACCAGACATTAATGGGTGACCATAAACTGACCAGTTCTCAGTGACCACGACCACAGGACGGTCCAGTCATTAACAGGTCGCTGTGGTTGTCAAGGGCCATTTAAGTACATTAGACACGGTCCGGCTAGCATAACCTGTTAACCGCTTCTTACAGTGGGAGACTGCTGGAGGCAAAGCAGGACAAACATTAGAGGTTAGTTCGTTATGAAGAAGCCCTGGTCAGGATCTCTGAGGGAGGTAAGAGAACGCTGGACTGAGGCCAGTGATGGAGCAGAGACAGAGAGGAGGGGTAGGGGGTGTTTAGAAGTGGGTGGTAAGCACACACACACACACACACACACACACACACACACACACACACACACACACACACGATGACTGTGAGATGCTGGAGGTTTGAGGGGCTGGTCCCAATGATTTATACATGTGGTTTCACAATATGACTTCATGTTCA